TAGTGGAAACGGGTGGAGTGTTTAATCGCCGTGAGCATAACGGATGTGTGAGATCGGCGGGGATGAGAATTGAGAATTATACTCATTTCCTTGTATGTTAAAAATACTTGAGTACAATGCATGATTAGTTGTCTCAAGGATAAGAGAAATGAACCTTTGGTTCATTCTCTGGATAATTAATTGTTCCCCTAAATTATGTCATCGGGTGATATGTTTTGTTATATGATTATTGAATGTATATGATAAAAATATTTGTTTTTTAAGTGATGGACATGTATGTGCAACACGAACTCACTAGACCTTATGCTTACCCTTTTAGAAACTTTAAATGTGCGCAACCCAGGAAACTATTAAACAAGTGGTAGTAAGAAGACTAGGGAGAATGATTGATCAACAAAACGAAAAAGGAGTTCCGCAAAGACGTAACACCCAAAACTCTTCGGTTGTAGACTATATTTTATTTTATTTGATTCCCGCAGTAGTTTTAATCAACGGTTAAGTTTTAGAATTGATCTTGGGAGATGTTCGGATAGTTATATTTTCATATTTATTATCTTGAAAATTAGGGTGTTACAACTTGGTATCAGAGCTTGGTTTAAGCAGGTTAGGTGTTTCTGTAAACACTTAAGCTTAGACGGGAGGAGCGAGAGGTAACCTAACAACTAAATTAGACCACATATTGCTTGTAGGTATAATGTATTCAAGGATATCTGGAAGGTTTGTTAGGGTCACCCCGGAGGAAGAACGTATCCCAGTTTGAGCATATTTAGAGAACCTGGAGATGTACCACAAATTCCGTTGATCCCTAATGTGAGTCGTGGACGTGGCCAAGGAAGAGGAGGAGGCAGGGGTAGAGGAAGAGGGCGAGGAGCTATAACAGCACTGGTAGTTGCACCGTCTGGCCAAGGTAGCTCTGGCTCCCAACGCGGTCGAGGTTGAGGTGGCGGAAGGGGTCGTGCGAAAAACATGATCCACTAGAGAAGAGTTGGCTGATGAGATTGCTCAGGCGATTCAAGCCACATTGCCAAATGTAGTTGATCAGGCACGAGATGCAATAATGAGTGAGTATGAAGGTAACTTGGGCGGGGGTAAAAAGGACTACGAGTATAGTACACCGAATTTAAATCCTGACCCAAGCACTGCACAACCCTCAAGGCATAATGACGACCACGATCGTCGGGATTGTAGTTCAAGACGTTCATGAATTGTAGGCCACCTACATTTAGTGGAGAAATTGATCCCATTTTGTCATTAACGTGGATCATGGAGATTGAGGGAACATTTGATACTAGCAAGTGTGCGGATGAGGACAAGGTGATTTATGCTGCAAGAATGTTAAAAGGGGAGGCTATACATTTGTAGGGTATGGTGAAAGAAGTTAGGGGGAGTGATGTAGCCAAGAGAATGACATGGGATGAGTTTACAAAAATCTTCAAAGAAAAGTTTTGTCCTCGAATGGAGATCAAGCAGTTGGGAGAAGAATTCTTGAGATTGGAACAAGGGAATATGATAATGAGAGAGTACACTACCAAGTTCACTGAGAAAGCTAGATTTGCAGATTTTTATGTGTCTATGGAGGAAAGGAAGGTTGAGAGGTATATTTGGGGACTAAAACCGCCATTCGTGAATTTGTAGAACTTCAGAAACCATGTACCTTCCAGTCTATTGTAGACGCCGCAGAAGGGTGAGAGCAAGAAAAGAAACGTCAAGGTGAGAATAAGGATTCAGGAAAAAGGAAGTTGGAAAGTTCAAATACATACTTAAAGAAAGGCAATACTTGTAGTTCAAATCGTAACTATGAGCAAAAATCTGAGATAGAACAACGTAATTTATGCAAACAATTCCATAAGGGCGAGTGTAATATGAACCAAAGAACTTGCTACAAGTGTGGAAAGATAGGACACATCGCTTTAGATTGTAAAATGGGGAAAGTATGTTATGGGTGCCGGTCACCAGATCACATCAGGTCAAACTGTCCTCAGAATAAGGGTAACAATAACTAACACATGATGACAAAGAAAGAGAATTGGCAGGGACATGAAAAGGCAGAAACCACAAGAACAAAAGGAAGAGTTTTCCTTATGACAGCTCAGGAAGCTCAGGATACGTCGATATAATGACAAGTATTTTCCTAGTAAGCTTTATGCATGTGAGGGTGTTATTTGGTTAGAGTTCAAACATTTTTTTCTTTACTTTTTGTAATTGCCTAGATTGGAATGCAGAAGTTTCTTTAGAAATAATAGAGTATATTGAGTATTATTTGATTTAAATATACAGTTGTTTTGCAACTCTAAAACTTGTACCCATAACACTATGAGATATTGATATCATGATACGAATGGATTGGTTATCAAAAACCAAGTTAAATAGATTATAAGAAGGAAACTATTCAGGTGTAGGTGCCACATAGGGGAACATAATATTGTATGTATACCAGTTGCAAGAGAGCTCTCAAGAGCCCTAATGGTTAGCACCAACAAGGATGAAATAATTTATTTAGCAGTTACAAGACATGTAAGGTTTTATTTGACATAGTACATCACCGTGGGGTGTAACGATATTCTTCGTCACAAATAGCGATGGGACGATGTAAGTATGCATAGATTACCAAGATTCAAAGAAAGTGTAAGATCTTTACATACTACAAGAGTGTTAATTTCATGGTTGATCATATATGATTGAACATGAGGCAAGAAGATGAGTAGAAATTCTAAGAGACTAACTATGAGGTATTATGTCACCTAGGGAAGGATAAGATTGTCACTTATGCTCTAAGTCATAATCTAAGGAAGGTATCAAGTAATTAAGATTCAAAATAATGAAAATTGATATAATTATCAGTTTACTAGGTGGACCGAAGAAGGGTTAGAAAGAATCCATGGTAGAGGATAAGCGGAAAGTTTTTAGATTTATTTAACTGGTGTATGATGACACATTTAGTAGAGACATAGGTGTACGATATTCGAGAACATAAAGGGTGTGTTGTGACCGACGGGGATAGGATTTGAGATGTTACTTATTTCCTTAGATATTTAAATGATTGAGCATATGAATGTGTTTTGCCAAGTGGGAAGGGAAGTGGACCATTGGTTCTTTCTCTGTATATCTGAAATGTGATGGTTTTGAGCCATAAGAACTTTCCTATGTGCACATGCAAACCCTAATGCTTGGATCTAGGTTTCTCTAATTAAACATGCAATGTATCCAAGACTTTAATTGATAGATCTAGTGTAAACATTCAAACTTATAACATATGAAATCAGATCTAAAGGAATACCTTGAGTTGCTTGCTTGATTCTTCTTGTCTTTGAAGCTTAGAGTCATAATTATCACTCCTCTAATGGCTTACAAACACCAACTAGCAAGAGGATGATAAGAGAGAAAGAGGAGGGTGAGAAAATCGGCCTAGGGTTATGTAACGCCCGGGTTTTCAGGGCTAAGCATTTTTGTCAATGTAATAGTCTAGGTCAACTATTGTAACTCTTTTTGAAGTAATAAATATGAAATATTTGAGTATTATGTGAATTATGTGTGATTGTGTGTTTATTGTTTAATTATAAATGTATAATTAATAAAGAATAAAAATGAGCGTCAAAATTAAAGTGTGAGATAATCCCTATATCTCTACATAAAGTTGTAGAATATGTCTCAAGGTTTCCGTACATATAAAGAATGCCGAAATCCGAGCTATAACGAAAAAGTTATGACCCGCCGAAGTTTTACGGCAAAACCGACACGGCACCGGAAGACATAAAATAGTGAATTTACGATAGAAGACTTTTTAGCCTTAGAAATATAAACAAAAGTCGTAGAATATGTTAAACTAAGAACATCGATAAAAAGAACGCCCAAATCTGACTTCGTATGAAGAAGTTACGATTTTTCGAAGTTTCGGACTAGCAGTGTACTGCCCGAAATTCAAATGTTTGATCGAGCGGTTTTTAGCCGACACGACCTAAACGAGAATCGAAGATCTCATTAAGAGTAACGTAACGAGAAAAATATCGGCGAAAACGGATGTCGGATGAAGAAGTTATGAGGATTTAACAGACCAATCATATCCCGACCCGTTGATAAAATAAAATTTAAAATCGAGTCAAAATTAGCCAACGAAGTCTAAACGAAAGTTGTAGAGTATGTTCCCACCTTCGCGTGGATATAAAGAACGTCAAAAACGGAGCTCGTATGCGAAAGTTACGAATTTTTGAAGTTAGGACTCGAAAATGCGAAACCTGTTGCGAAGATGATGACGTGGCCACTTCTGAGCCGTTGCTTGCTGACCAAGGCTTCGCTCCGGATCGCGCCACGATGACTCGCATTACGCCCCGCGTACGAGGTCCGGTACGCCCCGCGTACCTTCGGCCTTATCCGTCCGAGTCCGAGTGCGAGCCAGCTGTTGCGAGCTGGCAGCCACCTCCGAGCTACGCGCCGCGTATCCGAGGCCCTCGCGCCTATAAAAGGGGGCCGAAGGTGCCCTCATTTTTCACACCATTTCTCATTCTCTCTCTAGTTTCTTTCTCTCTCTAAGGTTCCAAACCACCCCGAAGCCCTAGTTAAACCCCTAGCACCCAAAGGAAGCCCCGAGGCTCCCGGAGTCCTGAGAAAAAGGAGTTTTTCGGTTTCGAAACGCTGCTACAATTAAGTCCCAGTTTTCGATAAAATTCGCTGTAAGTATGCTACGCTTATGCAATTTTTAATATAGCTTTCAAATAATTATAGGAATGTTATTAGGTCCTTAAAATAATTATTTGGGCTATTATTATGAGATATATCGAGTATTATTAATGCTTAATAATACTCAGACAATTAATTTGTCACGGTTATCATTAGACTAAACCCTAGTGGTATCGATACTAGGTTTTATCGAAGGAATATCATTTTGAGAGTATCGAAGCGCTGTCCGAGTGCTGAGTCACCACCTAATCAGGTGAGTGCATAGTTACCTTTAACTTACACATAGATATGAAGTATTTTATATAAATTACGTGCTATGTGTGCATATTATCTGAATACTTGCTATCTATGCTAGATGAACGTTGTTATACATGTTTTCAATGATTTAAACTGTATACGTATTTTATATCTACGAAAATGTTGGGGTAAAACATGGGTAGATGTAATAGGTGATGTGTGATAAAATGATGAGAGGCCTCGATGTTGTTGTTGTTGATCCAGTCATCTAGCGGAGTATAGATGACGACCACGGACTCTTCTAGACAGTCCAGTGGAACACTAGCAGGCTCGCAACCTGTAGGTGTTGTGAACGATGTGTTCACCGGTGTACTCCATCCCCACATGGTTGCCTATTAGGACATTTATTGCTGAGGAATCCCCTTAGCAGTAGTGTCCGTCCCGATGATGATCCTTAGGCTAGGTCCCTTATGATAGGTGTTTAGGGACGTAAAGTGAGGATAACGGGAACGGGTAATCGGGTTATTGTTGATTGATGAAATTAATAAACTTATTTATTGTGGGTTGAAAACCCTATGTGCTCACCAGGCTCCCAAGCCTGACCCCCTCAGTTTTATGTATTACAGGTAGTGGCGCATGAGCATAGGTGTGATGTTTTGGACGAGGGATTACGGATATAGGCTTGTAGATATGAAATAATGTAGTAAGGCTTATATTATACTGTTTATACTTTTGATCTGTACGAACATGAAATCCTGAGTCTTTTAATGAAATACATTTCTATGGAAATGCTTTTGATAAATCTTTATCATATTATTGTTTTGGGACAAATTCCGCAATCCTTTTATTAAAAGATAACTCTGATTTTGAAATAAAGTATAAACAAAACCGGTCTTTTCTGGCCGTGATTTTGGGGATGTCACAGTTGGTATCAGAGCTAGGGCACGGGTCGATGTGTTCGACAGGGACGTCGAACCCTATAATGGGGGGGTGAAGGTGGGTTGCACCTGAACCCACATCGGCTGGGAAGGAGAACTAAGCATCTCCTTATAAGGGG